CAAATATTGAAGGTAGTGGTTGAGCTCAGAATTTCTCGACCAGTTGGCCTGCTGGACCAAAGAGCACTGGCGAGCCTTTAAACAGTCTGAGTCTGAGTAGAGATTTTACTGACTTTGAGTATCCCGAGTAAATACACCAAGCTTGCCAGAGGTCAAACCCATTGCCTCAAACCTCCTGGTAGACTGCTAGCGGATCCCCATTTGGCCAATGCAGGCCATGAATTCCGAGAATCTTCAGGCAGCTTTGACGGAGGCATCGAGTGATCCGTGATCCGTGAGATCGTGCAACACCCAAACGTCCGTTTGACAGCCGTCCATCCACAAGTCGCCGTGAATGCCATGTCTTTGATGTCCAGCATAGAGACATGGCACTGCCTCTGTCTTGGAGCCTTTGCTTCGCGGAAGGTGGCAATGAGATTTCAGAAGAGAGCGAATGCTAACAAGTACGGTGCCTTTGGCGATGCAAGAGATGTGCCAAGTGGTTTGCAACCCTACTTGCTCCCGAGTGGCTTCAGGTGTCTATATATATATAATGTAATAATATATACATATACATGTGTATTGTATAGGTATGCACTCTTGACCTTCTATGTGTATAATGCATTTTTGGTCGCTTTGTGGCACTTCCTTTCAATCCTTTTCAACCTCCAGCCAGCTAAGCAACAAACGCTTGCAGATTGAACGGCCTGCAGCGATCATGACGTGCAACGACATAATGCCAATACGAAGAACCCCTGGCACGATGTCAGGTTGAAGTGAGACAGTTTCATCACGTAGCGATTCTGCGATTAAGTTATGTGTTCGGATTCTTGTCCTTACACTGCCACATTGGACACAGATCTCAGATTCACTCAAAAACACCAGTTCCTTTTTGGAAGAAGGCACAAGAGAAGCTCCAAAACTTCCAGAGGGGAAAGGAAGTCTTTTGCAGAAGGACTGCCTTTGGTTGCATTACTTTCTTGGATGGAACTTCCCGGGTGAACTTTGCCAGCAGTATTTGGCTTGAACGGAAAGTTGATCGAACACAGAATTCGACAGGTTTTGCCTTGAACATCTATCCAGTGCTCTCTGAAGTACAATGTTTCAGCATAGCTTCTAACTTTTTCTAACAAAGAAACTGGAGGGTGCCATTTTTGGATCACATCCGCTTGAAATTGAAAGGGAGCAAAACGCAAGAACAGACCCCCAGCCTGTAGCTTGGGTGTCTCCATGTTCCGAACCCCGAATTCACCCTAACCCCCCCAAAAAACCTAACCCGGTGCTTCTGTTCCGAAGCATTGATCCCTTCGACTGGGGCCGAACCGAGGCCTCGGTCCGACCTGGCGACAGAGGGCCTGGGAGATCGTGGAGCTGCTGCGCCAGGCCGAGGAATTGAAGGAGAGGCCGTGTGGATCGGGACGGAGATGCGGCTGCCAGTGAGATCGGGACGGGATGGGGACACTGGTGGAGAGCTTGAAGCGGTGATGGGGGGTTGACGCTTTGAATTGCAGGAACTATATTCAGGGAGACGAAGGTATTTTGGAAACAGAAGCATCTGTCTAATTGCTGGAAAATGCAAGTCCTCAAGTGAACCCAGAGTTGGTGGTTTTCTGTGGACAACCGGGTTTGGGTGTCCAGCGGCCCTGACTGCAGCAAGGCATTTCCTAGCAACACCTTGTACGGTACAAAACCCCCTTAGTTCCCCCGAGATCTCCAGATAGAGAATACAAATTAACCTACTGCAAATGAAATTCCACCTCATGCATCTTCAGGGAGAACACTCTTTTCTATCATTAGTGTCCATCCCAAACGAATGGATGCCATCAGCACCCTTCTACCACCAGGTTTTCTTCCACTCAGGAGGACTCCGCGCAGTGTTGGCGTCGGCGCTTTGTGGTGGAAACCCTGAAGGCTCATCGGATCCTTGAGAACAAGGCCGAACAGCCGGCCGGGCCGGGACCCGGGCCGTCCGGGTCGGACGGTTTTTTAGCAGCTGCCAGAATGGATGTGCTGGTGAATGGACGGTTTTCGATGTTTGAGGCGTCTTGACATATCTGTTCAGTTAGATGACCCTGTGTAGTTCTCAGATCTTTGAAAGCGACGAAGCTCCCATTGCCCGTGACGTTTCCACATCTTCCAGGGTTGGCACACAGGCTTCTTGACACATATGCGATCTTCCAATCAGTGCGGGTGGTGTTCAGAAAAAAAAGACACGGTTGCCAGGAAAGCTTTGCAAGCAAGATCCAAAGGTTGGGACTCTCAGAATCTTTGCTTAAAGGTGCCATGGCGAGGTCTGCCCTGCTCCGGGCTGCAGTTTTTGTGTGGCTCTTCCTAGAAGCGTGGCCAGTGGTGTGACTTACACTTGCATTGTAGTGGGATGATAGATAGTATCGATATTTGATTGGTAGTGACCAGACTTAGCCAAGGGCCCCACTGCTTGTCATCCTGGGCCTTGTTCTTTTTCATCTCCAGGATGGAAGATTTTTGGCCACAGCCTCTTGGCCATGCCTGGCACTCTTGCCTGTTGGGTAACTCCAGATTCAGACTGTGAGAGGCAAACTTATCGCTTCATGGAAGACGGACCAAACCCTTCAACCCCTGAGGCATCTGCGAATGAACTGTTTCTGCAAAGTTATATATTTGTTTTTCTTTGATTCATCACTGTTCTAAACACGACACTGCCTTGTTTCTTGGTATGGGGGGGGCCTCCTTGGAAGGAACGTACAGGTTACTCTCCCTGAAGTAATCATGGAAGCGGACAATGACCCCTTGGATGACCATTTTCCTCTACAAAACAGGATCTCCACTTCCATGTGGTCGTGACAGATCTCACCTCGTTGAGATCCCTCCTCGTTTGGATGGCAGATCTCGTGGGTGAGGCAGATGTGACCCCGTCGCCTCCGTCGCCTCGCCTCCCAGGTTTCATCACATCTGTCGACATGCGGAGGATCTCGCCCAGCTGGTCCCACTCGCCGTGGAGGCCGAAGGAGCGGAATCCACCGGGATCCGGGGAAAAGCGGGGGGGGGGCCGGTGTGGTTCCACACGGGAAACAGGAGGGACATCGGCTGAAGTCGGGCGTTGATGTGGACCAAAGGAAAGAAATCATTGAAAGCTTGTGCCAGCTGCGGAGGCGGTGCCGGACCTGCTTGTAAAGGGACCTCCAGGTAAGTGGTGAGACTATGAGTAAGACCCATTGGACTTCTCCAAATACCTCACCTGAATAGGACACTTTTGAATGAGAGACGCCCTCTCCTATAGGACGGGCAAAGTGAACGAACAGATGCACAGATGGACTTGTTTCGATCCCTTTTGGCCGACTCCTCACCCCTCAACACCCCTCAACACCCCTCAAAGGGGGAGAAAAAAAGGAGCAGGGTCTTTCCAAGAAACCACTGCGAGGAAAGGAGAAGGCTGAGAACACGGAGAACACGGAACATGCGGAGCTCCAGCCATCGCCCTCGTGCGTGATCCCAGACAATTCCTTGGGTCTTTCCGGGACTTGTGTGAAGCACACGGAGCAACGGCACCCGACATGGCCATGGCCATCCAAATGATTTCACCGCCAGAAGGTCTGGCTCTCAAGCCCCACGAAGACTAGGAACAAGTGCATCGCTTCTAGTAAGAGGTGCCTTACTAGTAGTAACAAGAAGCTATTAGAAACAAGTGCCTTACTACTAGTAACTAAGTGCCTTACTAGTAGTAATGGGGTCTGAAATCACCTAAGACCACATGACCAAGGACTCCCCACCGACTCTCGTCCCTGAGCCCGAGGCTTCCAGATGATCGGTGCCCGCGCTTGGTCGGGGCCCAGATGACGCCGGAAATGAGCCTCTTCGGACGTCAGGTGAGGTCCATGAGTTGGACAGGATGTGAGAAAACACAGTTCTATTGATTTTTGTTTTGTTTTTCAATCGTTCGGTCGGTCGGTCGGTCGGTCGTTCGTTCACTCACTCACTCACTCAGTCAGTCAGTCAGTCAGTCATTCATTCATTCGTTCGTTCGTTCGTTCGTTCGTTCGTTCGTTCGTTCGTTCGTTCGTTCGTTCGTTCGTTTTCATTCATTCGTTTTCACTCGTTCATATTTATGTGTTTATTTATTATGTCAAGACGTTTGGAATCCGTTGGAGTTGTTTTTCCCCTTCCTTTGTTCCTTCCGTTTTCATTAGTTACAGTTATATATATATAAATATAGTTGTCTTGGCTGACTAGAACCCACCCAAACATGGGCGCGAGATGGCGAGCCGGTGTCCACTGATCCTTACTTTGCTTTTGTGGTCCTTCTTTTTTGTGCAGGAAGATGGTTCAAGACGGTTCAAGTGTCATGAGGGTCATCTTGAGAGAGTTTCGGATTAGTACGATCGACCAACTTCACTGTACATTCTTCGCGCCTCCTAAGGCCAGAGGTGTTGATTGGAAGACGCGAGGATCAAGGACTCCGCAAAAACGAGGGGGTGGGAATTTCTGCAGGAATCCACAGCCAAGCGCCCCAAGGGCATGACCAATGGTCCCAAGGGGTGCCTTGGGAAGAAATCTGAAACCTTCCTTTCGAGATCAACAAGAGACGGGTCTGGCAGGGTCTTCTGGGTTCGCACCGGAGGTCGCTGTCGCGTCGGCCTCACATCTGGGCCACACGGATGGCCAATACACCCGTTCTATGCCCCAACCATCGGGCATTTTCTTCCACAACATTCCACAACCATATGGCATTTGCGTGGTTTGCCGATGTACGTCATTGCAATGATGTTTTCGATTCTTGATCCCAGGATGAATTTTGCCGATGCAAATTAGCAAAGGGATGCAACACTTGGGTTTTGGTCGCCTTCATCGTGCTGGACGACCGTTCGTCCATCAAACGTATCGGTCATGTCGTGGAGTTTGGCTTTGTTTGGCGAAGCGACAGCAAGCCATCATTTACCAACCTTGGTTTTCAATTAGCCATCAAGGCATTGCATGCTCCTAGCATGACAGGCGACCAGATTAAACTGAACAGACCCGAATACTACTGTAGCCTCCAGAAGACTATCCAGTCCGGGCTGTGCGGTGGAGTCATCGACGGCTACCCCTGGTGCAATGATGGCTTAGCGATGGCGATCGAGGGTTTGGCTGTCAATCTTCCATGGTGCTCACGGGCGAACGCTCAGTTCCTCGGATGAGGAACAGAGCTGATCAAAATGATAGGAAGAAACACCAACTGAACACTGGACGCTGAAAAGAGCTGAGGTACATGGAGGGGGATTGGCACTTTGGATGCCTCCCCCATGTGAACCAAAGCTATTTCTGCTGTGGCGATGAGCTGGTCGAGCTGCGAGAGCATGGGGAGAAGGCGATCGCGGGAGCTTGGATGATGTGAGGGCCGCCCTGCTAAGAACTCCAGGTATGTGCTGGAATTTCCACTTGGTTTCTTCAAGACTCCAGGAGTAAGCCAACAGTCCATGAAGAACCCTTTGAAGGAGAGCCGTTTGGCACCGATGCGCCATGGAGGTTGCACAAGAGGCGCATGACTTAGTCACTTAATCAGTGGACATTTTCAACTGGGTGATTGGCGTGTTCCTCTTCAGTCTTCCTCATTCGTTCTCAGTGTTTTCCATTTCGAACTGCCCCGGCCAAACTCGTGAACCGACTTCAAGAGGTGTAGACACGAGTCTGCACAAGAGTCTCACGAGTGATTTTGTTATTTGTCGAACTGAGGGGTGCAGAAACTGCTGGTGTTGAAGTGGGATAAGCCTGGCTGAAGGGCCTGTTTCAGGCAAAAGAACGATTCAAATCCAGTTTCAGGGCTGCTTTTTTTGCTACAACTACTCTATTTACAAGGCACATTCAGGTACATCTTACTGTACCCATCATCATTTGGTCCGGGGCCTCATTTGGTCAGGTGCTGATCTACCGAAAGAGGGCTCTCAACGAAGCGGCGGACCAGATGGATTCCTTCAGTAGCTCGGCACCGGTCAGGTTGGGGGAGTTTGATGTTTTCGTTTGCACTAGGAACAAGTGCATCGCTACTAGTAACAAGTGCCTTACTAGTAGTAACAATATTTGCTATTAGAAACAAAAATCCGACAGAGATGTTTCCTTCGGTGAAGCTTCGCTGCGGGAAGGGCAGGAAGGCGATCTCGGAACTGCTTCTTCTTTGGTGACCAAAGATCCAACGAATTCTCTTTGGAGTGCCACCAGCCCCTTTTGAGAACCGTCTCTTGTGGTAGATCTTCTTGGTCTTCTCCGAGCTAGGCCAAGGCTAGGCTGTACCCCGAACGTTTGGGTGAATACAAGCACTGAAGATCTGAAGATCCATGTTGGGCAACATCACCAGACGAGGGAAAGGAACCTGATCGAAGCCGCATCTTAGCCATATCGTGCCATATTAACACATATTAATATTAACAATAGGATACAATAGGTACTCAAGGTAATCATCCATGCTTCAACTCCTTAGGCGCTCCTTTCTCCAAGGTCGCACCGACCTTTCACGCGGACGCCGCTGCGGTGCCATGGCGAAGGCGCTGGAGTTCCTCGTTGGGAGCTTCAGCGAGGCCCGGGTGCTGGCGATCGGAGGCCTGGAGATCTTACGCTTCGGGATGCAGGACCTCTCCTGCCAGGTGGGGGCCGGGTCTTGCTCTCTTCGTGATGCCGGGTCTTGGAGGAAGGGAACACACGTGTTTCCAGCGGTATCCAAGGCCTTTGGCCTTTTGAGTTGAGCTTCTGGTGTCTGTGGAAAAGGAGTTTCATTTGAGAAACCATGGGGTCGGTGAGCTGTGATGGACTATTTCGCGGTGCAGAGTAGTTAGTAGGTGAGGTGTTTTTGCAGAATGACAGTGTATTGGAGATTTGGTTTGTCAAAGGAAAGGGGGATTTTCCTTTGCCGCAATTGGAGATGCACTTCGGCGGACAAAGGGGTGATGTTTTACAGGTTGCTGGGCCTTGAGTTGTGTGCTGCTGTTTGCGGTGGTTTGGACTCAAAGAAACCTTCTTTGAAAGAGGCGGTGAGTGGTTCATCCCAGATTCCTGTCGCCGAGTTCCAAACGATCTAAAAGCACATTTGAAACCACCAGAGCACGTTCCCGACAGCTATCACGCAGAAATTTGGTCCTTTCACCCCTCGATTTCATTGGCGTCCTCACCTCGCACCATGGCGCGACCGTGCGACCTGACCTTTTTTCGCCAGGTCTGCTGGGCTGCGGAGGAGCAGCGCTCGCAGCAGATCTTCCGCGTGGTTCGCCGGGACTTGGAGGCGGTGCTGCGACGCCTGGGCCAGCTGAGGCGGAAGGGCGAAGCGGTTGAGTCGGGCATCGGTGGGCATCGGTGGATCATGGAGACACAGATTCGTCAGAATGGGTTTGATTGGTCGTTGTGTAATGTAAACCAAATGTAACATGACTTTCCAAGAAACCTCCAACAGCCGCAAAAAAGCTTTGAACCGTCCGCGAAATCACAGGTATGACCTGCCCTCCTGGGAGCCATGCCTACCAGATTGGTGGAAGTCTTTGGCCGCTCCCTCCAATGTGGTGAACGTGAGCGTGCGGAGGGCCGGCACGGTGGATCGGATGCGCTCGGTCAGGCAATGGATGGAGTCGATCGCCGTGGCCATGACGGCCTTAGCGGGAGAATTCCAAAGCCTCTCCTACATCCTGCAAACAGAGTCTGATCTTCCACAGCTCTCAGAACCCTTGGAAGGCCGAATTCAGGAGATTGGTTTTCCTTTGGTTTGGGGTCTTTGGGGGCAGTTTGTCTGGATTTTTTGCTGGTATGGAAGAAAGGTCTACAGGCTTGGTTCAACATGTCCAGCACAGTTCCCGATTCCATGTACACATCTACAGGAGATTCCTTTCCCAGCGTCTCTACCGAAGCCCTCCATCCTGATCACTCTGGACCACACCGACTCCGACCGCACTTGGGCCGACCTGGAGCAGCTCCGGAGCGCCGGCTGGGCGGTGGTGACCGCAGGGCTCCACGAGGCTTCGAGCATGTGGCGGAAGTTCCCCTACGCGTGGCCCGGCAGCTCAGTGGCACTGCCGGGTGCACCCTCCGGTGTCAACCGCGCCCAGCGGTTGTGCTGTGAAGGACCGGTGGAGGTGGGGAAGAAGGACCGGGTGCGGGGATGGAAGGGTGATCGACGTTGGAATATTTTTCTTGTGATCTACCACTTTTGCATGGCTGCAGTTTCACCAAGATTCCTTGGAATGTGCCCTGAACCAAGCTGGAGCAAATCACCAGCCCGCATAAACAACTCACTTTCAAATCCCACGACCATAGTTCTCATATTCAGTATGTAGGCAAATATCAAGAATCCCGTGACCATAGTCATGTTCCTCACGATGGATGCTAAGGTTCACCTTACCATGGTTCGCTGGACGGTCCCTGAGGTGAGCCAACTACTTCAGGGACAAATCCCTGCAGGATGCATGTCAGCGCCTGTGGTGCCTCCCTTCGACCGAAAGGTGTTGGATCGGCCAGCTGCACCGCGGGCGGTGATCTTCATATGCTGCTGGGTGCCAACAACAGATCGCTGTGAGTGGTTATATAGTTGTCCGCAAACACTGGCACCCTCCGGAAACCAACACAACTGGTGGGTGATACTGGTGATACTCATGATACCAGTTGAATAGAATCTACCAATATTAAAAGATTTACTGTAGGACAATCAAAGGTTATTTCATCCTTCAATAGAACATGAAATAATACGATTTGGATATATCTTACCACAATTGTTTTTTTGCTAATATATTTGTATATTTGAATTCCATCATTGACGAATTCAGCGACTTTGCAATTCCAAAATTATTGCCTTGAATTGCTTGAAATGGTGCATTTTTTTACACGAGAAGGTACCAACTCAGTCACCATCGCAGCCTCCCCCAAACTTCCCTTTCTTTCACACGTTATTCTGATTGGCCAAGAACTGTGAAGACAGACGCTCAAAATATTCAACAACATCAATAAATAAACAACAAAATGGTGGCCGGTTTCTTCATTGGGTGGATGGTCGTCGCAGCTTCAGGTCTTCACAGTACCTTCTGTGGTGGACATGGAGATCGCCTCTTTGGGCTGCTATCGGCCTATTTGGCGGCCCTGCTGTCTGGTCGCTCCTTCTTCATCGACATGCGCACGCCGCTGCCCCTGCCGAGCCTGCTACATCCGCGCAAAAGGCCCTGGCCCGCGGTGTCCAGCGCCTGCGTGACGTACCGGTGGACCTCCGCGGAAGATCCGAAGAGCTTGGAGGATGACATCCAACTCTTCATGGAAGATGACTCCGAGGTGGTGTGTATTGCCTCGAACTTGCGGCTGTTTAAGGCCCTTTTGAGATATGATACATCAAGTGATTGGGCCTTTGCACGTTCAGGGTTGCTCTCGGGACTCTTCCTGGACCTCTTCTCCTTGGCTCCAATGCCCAGCTCCTTGGTCTCCAACTTCCTGCGACAGATGCAAGGCCGTCAGCTGCTGGGCATCCACTTCCGTGCGGGGAACGAGACCACCTGGTCCGACCCGGCGCGCCACGCGCTGAGCGACCTGGACCTGGCCTTGCGCTGTGCCGCTTCGGTGGAAAGCCACTTGAAGCTTCCGGGCTCCGCCTGGCTCTTGGCGTCCGACACCCTGAAGATACGCCAGCACCCGGTGGTGGAGCAGCTGCACCGGGCGGGCAAGGTGGTGTATCTGGAAGACCGACCGACCCACATTGACCGATCGAGTCCAGAGGTGGTGAGCATCCTTCAATCATGGGCGGTTTGGTGGGTTCTGGCCTTTCATACCGAGGCCCTCCTTTCGCATTCCAACTTCGGGTGGAGCGCTGCGGAAATCGGCCAACGGAGCGCGTTCCACTTCCCCAGCTGTCGCCCCGCAGACGTCAGCAGTCCCTGAGGGCTGGTGCACCTCACAGACTCGCAAGAGCTAGCTCTGAGCTGACGGGTCGCAGCCTGTTGTACACATGTATCCCTGGGATGTGCTGTCTTTCTCATGAATGGCACCAATACAAAAGTACGTAGCACTTCGACCTCGTGGTGCATGCAGTTGCAGTGAGCATATGTGAGCGTTTCAGAGTCGTGGCATGGCATGACACGCTTGTGCCAAAGGAAAACCGTTGTGGAATTGGTGTCCATCAACAGTCGACCTTGGTGAGCCATCAACATGATTCCGAATGATCCAACCGACGTCGTTGTCCCTCCAAATGGGTGAACGGTCGGCAGCCCAACTTTTCCATCGAGTCGGGAAGGGCTATGCAGACTGCAGTTGAAACGGTCAAGGAGAAGATGCAGATGATGATGATGATGATGATGATGAAGAAGAAGAAGAAGAAGACAAATAAGAAGATGAAGGGAACTGATCATCACATGAGGTTGCAACAACTGCGGCCAAAAAAAGAGCGCCTGCATTTGGTCATGTCTTGGACGCGGCAATGCCGGCACAGCTTTCGGTCTTATCGACGTGTGTGTGTGTGTGTGTGACATTCTTTTGGTCTTCCTTCATAACCATACCTTGTGTGTTGTCTGAAGGCATCCTCCGTTTGTCTTGGTGCATTGGTCGGCTAGCTGACGGGAATAAACAACATTGCGGCGTTGTTCGCTTCTTTTGGTAAACCGCGCTACAGGAGCCGATGGTGTGCCCAGTCAGCCTTTACCAAGGAGGAGGTGAAGTGGGAGACGGCTGGATGACTTGATTCACTTGACAACCCTGAAAGGTAGACCAAAGTGTACAAAGCTTGAAGTGATCTTGAAAGCCATGGTTTACTTGCCAGTATAGAAGGGGAGGGCTTAGCGACCTCTCTATGATTCCACCCCCATCCATGACACAGATAGAGTCTATCTGATCTTCGCTCACCTGCAACCACTGGAGCCACCGGACCGCACCGGACCTTCCCCCCCCAGCCGCAGCCGGACGTGACGGTACGTGGACCCGCCGCAGCTAGGTCGAGGACGAGCCCAAGATGAAGTGGTCGCGATCCTTGTCCTTGCGCCTGGAGGTGGAAGCGATCATTGTTGGAAGCTGCATTTGGGCGTACATAGGGTGACATTTGGTCAAGCCTAGTGCCAGGACAAATGCAGGGGAATGTCGCTTATTGCGTCCCAAAGATGCAGGCTTCCTGACACTGCTTTTCTTGCAGGAACTGATCAAGCTCTGTCTTTGGTGGGCAACAGGAACGTGCGTCATACCCTCGCCCATGCTAGTCTACACTGCTTCAAACTACTGTGGGTACAAAAGCTGCCAGATCCATTCTGTTTCTGAAGTAGCGACCCTCGGTTTACCTGGCGGGAAGGGAAGGTGGTCCTGTTGGCCCTATTCGACCATTGCAATGGGTCCAGGAGAGCAGAACAATGCTGGTGGAGCCGCTGCGAGATTCGCCGAAGAAGCTGCGGCACCTGATGATTCGCAGGCCCCAGAGACGTCTCTGCCAGCAAACAGTTCACCAGTCCACAGAGCAACTCGTCGACGTTCAACAAGGCGATGTTCGGGCCCAGTGGCCATTTTGATGGGAAAAGGTGACTGGTCGAACAAAGAATCATGTCTTGTTTTTTGTTGAATTTTCGGAACGGGCTGCCGTGGGTGATGGCCCCATTTCTATCTCATGTGGTTCGCCCCTGCCGGTCTGTGGGCGCAAGGCCCGTGAAGAAGGAGGCCAAGTCACCCAAGCCGCGGGTGGTGGTCACCGAGGCAACTCCACAGGCTGAGAGCGTCAAGGTCGGGTAACGGACATGAGGGAGCGCAGTGGAAGAAAGAACCTCTGGATGGTCTATGGATATCTGATATGTGGAATGAATGAGGACCGTTAGAGGGTCTGATAGTGAGTGATAGTGATAAATTCAGTGGTTAGCGACTGTAAAGGTATTAAGACCTCCGTCGTAGTTTGCACCACGAAGCGATGTGGCCAGAAAGCACGCAATGACTTCTAGGTTTGAAAACCAGAGACAGCTTCCAGCAGGTTCAGTTGAGGGACGAGAAGTTCTCCTACACCAACAAAGAGCTCTTGCAGAAGCGAACAAAATTGACCAAGCCAGACTGGTCTGGGGTTCTCCCTTCTCCCAGGTAGTGCGTATGTACTGGCAAACACTGGGATCTACTTTGTGTGATGTGCGCTTTGCAATGAGCGCCAGCCGTTTCTCTTTTCGCAGGGGCCAGCGTCTCCGTGGCAGCGGCGACCATCGCGGAGCAAGAAGAAAGACGAGGCCAGTGGAGCTCACCAGCTTCGGGTCTTGGAAGCGTGGTCTGTTCAGGAGCCCATGTGAGTCACTGAGTAGGAGTGGGCGGAACCGCGGAACTGGCCATGGTGTCAGGACACTTTGAAGTTGCAAGGGATTACCCTCCCTCCAACAATCATGGAAGCTGACCAGGACCCCTTTTTAGAGGAACATGATCTTCCGTAATGCCAGGAGCTACTAGTAGCATTCTTGCTACTGGTAGTGATGCCCTTGTTACTAGTAGCTTCTTGCTACTAGCCGCACATTAACACCTGCTTGGGTTAATGCATCCTTTGGGTTATTTTGTCATTTTCTAGTATAGAAAGATGTTCCGCTCCGTTTTGATGTACAGATAGTACACTTCCCAAGCATTCACCTGTCGCCTTCACCCCAAGAAACCTCTGAACCTCTTCCAATCGTTCACCACTCCTGCAGAGCTTTGGTGACCTGGCGACGTGCAAAGAAATCCAGGTCATGGTGCCGGGCCAGCTGCTGACGAAGGGAGGGATCACCAGTTGGGATCTCAGAAACCTCGATCTTGGTTCCGCTCAGACCTTGTGAAGTGGGGAGTCCTATCCTTGCAAGATTCGGTGGGTGGGTAGGGAAGAGGACCTTAAACAAATGTCACGCGGGTGCAACATGTTAGTTTCTGCAAGGCTTCTCCATCCATGAGATTGCGGTTCATGATGTAGCATTGCTCTAGCAACAGCTTTTTTCCGTTTCCAAACTGGAGACCTCTGCTACGTTGGCCACAATAAGTGCAAAACACCAGAGTTTCTGCACTTTTCTGCCCACGCATCCGAGTGGCCCACTTCATCAGGTTGGAGCGATCTGGGATTGGCCCGCAGGTGGAGCGATTGGCGGTTTGATCTGGTGGAGGGTCTTCCAAACCTGACTGGAGGGGGTGATATTTGTGGGAAAGTAGTGCGGTCAAAAGATTATACAGTAGAGTCATATAGTCCAAGGTTTGCACCCTTGGTGACGCTCGTCAAGCAGAGGATAGCCTCCCTGCAATAGTAGCTACTAGAAAATGAGTGTTTGAAGTGTGAGACGATCCCCTCTGCCAAAGAAACGTGGAAGTGGAATCTATGATTGCTGTGGGGTCCAAAGCTGTTTTCAGATGCTTTAGGTGACGCATATTCCAAAGATGGCGATGCCCAGCAGCCATAGGCTACAGGGTGGATGCATATGTATCATTGAAGCAGGCTTGTTTTGCAATATCACCTGTGATATTCCAAATAGAAGGCATTTTTCATTAGTCCCACTTAACTTAGCAAAATCCCCACTTCATTACGGCATTACCCAATATGTTCGACCACAGATTTCCATCCACGAGACGGATTTCCATCCGAGACGGGACCGTTCTTTAGAGCAGGAAGTCTTCCAGCCAGGGCCCGAGGGAGGGTGTCTGTGTGTGTGTGTGTGCATGGTTGGGTGGGAGAACGAGAACCGGTGAACCTGCATGCATGGTTGATTTGTCATGAACATGAGGTTCACTGGGACCCAACATGCCCAGTTCTTGCAGTTGCCAGTGATGTTGTTGAGAATGTACCAGCATGCGCTTAGGCTTATAGGGTAATTTTAAGAACCGTGGCCAGTGGGAGGATTTGGACAATGTCCGGTTCCAAAGAGGGCATAACATTTTTCATAATGCACCGCAATGTTTAGGAACCTTTCTGGTTCCTCGCAATGTCCCTTGTTGGAACTCCTGAGAAAGGAAGCAAAGAAGGACTTTCTCAGAGAAAGCATTCCGTTCTTCACATGTCGTGATTCTGGAACATCGATTAGCTTGTGCACGTTCCCTGGTGGAAACTATGCCTGTGCTTCAAAGCTATGAACCAACGATCTCCAGATGCGTATTCGCGGAGGAAGGGCTCGCAGCTCTTCTCACGACTCGTGGCAGTGGCTTCATTGACTCAGGTGGACTCAGTGGTGCCAGCAGAAAGCTCAGAGATGAGATTGATTGCTTGATTGATTGATTGATTGGCGCAGCCCTCGACTTGCACTCAACAGAAGATTTTTGTTGCGAAAGACGACCCCGAGAGAAGGAGCAAGGACGCTACTAGGGGTTCCTGGCATCGCTACTAGGACCAGGAACAAGAAGCTACTAGGGGCTCCTAGCCGTACTACTAGGAGCAAGGACGCTACTAGGGGCTGCTTCTCATTCTTCATCGGGCCTTTTTGGAAGCCCAGCCGCAGCGCTGAACGGGTCGGCTCCAGGTGCTCGGACGACCTCGGAGTCTTCTCCGGTGGCGCCGGTGGGGAGCAACAGCGAATCGGTCGGAGGGCGATGTTGGTGGGCCGTTGGCAGGTGAGAGTGGTTTTAGTGCTGTATGCTTCTCATTCATTGATTTGGAATTGAATATTCCATGTCGATCCAATGTATCCAGAGTTCAAGCATATAGCATTTCAAGTTCAAACAACGTTTGCTGCATCAATTGTAGGAATTTTAGTGTTGACATGTTAACAGACATTTATAGGCCTCAAAGCTAAATGTGATCAGAAGCTCTGAAGTGTTTTTTTTTACAGTCCGACCGATGTCGCGGTGTTTCTCCACCTGCCAGTCCCGACCCTCCCACCGGGCGCCACCGTCCCGTCTCCGTCTCCGTTTCGTGAGGCCCGGGCGGTCTCAATCATGGACTCCAGGCGGAGATGGTCGAGACGACGGATGTCGTTCCCGACGAGATGGGCGTCGTTTGGGCTCGGATTTGCTCGGGGTTTTGGGGATGGATTTCTCAGTCCCACGTGAGAAAACGGCAGGACATCACGATGAAAACATGTCCAATTCGCCAGAGTGTACTAGGGATTCAGCAGGATGCAGGGGGAGCAGAAATTCAGGGTGCTCGAAGATATCATCAGTTCAATGGCCTAAAAAGTGAGCGGCTATGTGAAGAGTTCAGCTCACTCCTAGGCTGCCAGCATTCGCTTTTTGTCCAGGTTGGGTTGTTGCCCACATGTTTCAGCTTCGACCCCCCTGCACTCTGGGAGGCCCACATTGCCATCGCTGCTGTCCGAACCTCTGAAGAAGCGCGCTCGGAGGTGCTACCTGCACTTGAGAGATCTCGAGAGCCCTCAGCGTCCTATGAAACATGGTTATTTGATCCGAAGCTGACCCTACAGCGTTGTTTGAACATGGTTAACAAGCATAAACTTTAGTCTGCCTGAAGTATGCAACATGC